ACACACACACACACACACACACACAGAGCTTTCAGACAATGGAAGAGCAAAGACTCATGAAGAGATGCATCCTCCCAGATGACACTGAATTAACTAAAGGGCTTGCTGATGGATAGATTTCTGCCTGAGCCATCTTGGCCCCAAGATCTCCAGTCTAGAAGAGCAGGAACAGGAGTGCCAGGCAGCCATCCTTTCACCTAGCTCTATTATGACCTTATGTTCCAGGTCAAACAGCTGAATAAACTCTGACAGCTCCTGGGTGGACCTTTGTAAAGCTGGGGCTGTAAGCAGACCACATCTGTCCTCCTGGGGACTACAGTCTTGTCCAGTGCTGTGACTCCCTGCTGGAACTAGGCTGCCTGGATGCTCCTCACTCCTTGCTTGCTAACTGTCTCCTAACCGCCAGGAGATCCATGAGTAGCCTCCCCTCCTCTCTAAAAATGACTTGCCCTCCTATCTAACAAGGACTACCAACTGTGGTCTGGCACACCTCTCCTGACACTACTTGACTTAGTAGGTATTCTATTGCTATGAAGAGACACTATGACCAAGGCAACTCTTACAAAAGAAAACATTTAATTGGGGGCTTGCTTATAGTTTCAGAAGGTCAGTCCATTATCACCAGAGTGCGAAGCAGATAGGCATGGCACTGGAACAGTAGCTAAAAGCTTCCATCCTGACCTACAAGCACAAAGCAGAGAGAAAGCACCTGATGTGGGGCTTTTGAAACCTCAGAGCTCACCCACAGTGACACACCTCATCCAGTAAGGCCACACTTTCCCAAAACACTTCCTTCCCAAAACAGTTCTACCAACCAGGAACTGAGCATTCAAACATATGAGCCAATGGGGGGGTGTGTGTGTCAATTCTTATTCAAACCACCACAATAGCCAAGGCTGGCCTTGAATTAGGATGTAGCTCAGGATGGTTGGCCTCAAATGCACAACCATCCTGCCTCAGCCATCCAAGTGTTATGTTTACAGGTGTGTGCTACCATAGCAGGCCGATCACCGTACGTAAAACTCTATCCCTTGACACACTTCAGCCACTTACTCTGCCACTCACCCTGTCTCATACTCATATGCTGTCCTTACTTTTCTCTATGTCTCTCCATTGGAATGAATGACCCATGTAACAGTGGCTTTGTTTTGTCTGTTAAGGCTTTTCTTACAGATACTACAACATAACCAGAAGGCTGGAGAGATGACTCAGCAGTTATGAGACAATGCTACTCTTGCAGAGAACCAGAGTCCACATTCTAAAACCCACATTGGGCAACTACCTGTAACTCCAGTCCCCAGAGATTCAATGTCCTCTTCTGACCACCATGAACATTCATATACATATGCTCATACACATAAGTAAAAATAAATCTTAAAAATATAAAAGCAGAGAGAGGCAGGCAGATCTCTATGAGTTCGAGGCCAGCCTGGTCTCCAGAGCCAGTGCCAGGATAGGCTCCAAAGCTGCACAAAAACCCTGTCTTGAAAAACAAAACAAAACAAAAAACAAAAACAAAAAACCAAAACAAAACAAAAAAAAAAAACAGGGCCTGGAGAGATGACTCAGAGGTTAAGAGTACTGGTTGCTCTTCCAGAGGTCCTGAATTCAATTCCCAGCAACCACATGGTGGCTCACAACCATCTATAGTGGGCTCTGATGCCCTCTTCTGACACATGCAGGTAGAGCACTAATATATAAAAAAATAAATAAATCTTAAAAAGAAAAACAGGTACACCACATTCAGTAAATATTTGTTCAGTGAATGAATAACTAACTGACTTGCCTAAATTGGATCCATTCTTGACTGCAACAAAAATGTTGCTTAATTTGACATTACTTTAGTGAAATCCCTATCTTCAGAGAATGAATGTCATCCCTGATTGTGACAAATGACAAGTAAAAGCCAGTCATGGTGATGCAGGCCTTCACCTTAGCAGTAAGAAGGCTCAGGTTCTCTGGCACCCTCAGCTGCACAATGAGACCTTGTCTCAAACAAACACAAAGAGACAGCAAAAGAAATTTGAGCAAGTTAGAATGAGAATTTGGCAGAATCCTAAATGGCTAAATTGTAAAGGTGAGTTTTAAAAAAAAAAAAAATCAATTCAAAGCTTTTTAGTACAGAGAAACCACAGAATATTTTAGGGCAATGATCTGCCATGAGTTGGCATAAATTACAAATAACCCTTTCTGTGTGACCAAAATAGAGGAAATCAGCCTCAGGACCCTGAATACGATTCCTAGTAAGAGGTCTTTGGTATCTCAAACGAGGATCCAACTTCAAGTGCCCATTCTAACCAGAATTCCAAATAAAGAAGAGGCATTGCAGGAGGGGATGTATTCACGGCTGCTCACTGGTCAACTTGAGGTCAAGGGCTGTATGTACTACATTAGCCCTTATAATTAGCACATGAGGATTAATGAGGGCTTTACCCTCATTCATCTTTATGCACCCAGCCTGGAGCCCACACCGGACCAGATGGACACCTGATGAAGGAATGAGTCTAGGTAAACCATACTCTCAAGTCTTATATGCATACAAGGATAGAAGTAAATTCAAATACATATTGCAGATTAACATTTTCAGAAGGGAGTACGGAGGGATGGCTCAGCAGTAAAGAGCAGTTGCTGCTGTGCCAGGCAGTGATGGTGCATGCCTTTAATTCCAGCAGTTGGGAAGCAGAGGCAGGAGGATCTCTGTGAGTTTGAGGCCAGCCTGGTCTCCAGAGAAAGTTTTAGGATGGCCAGGGCTACACAGAGAAACCCTGTCTCGAAAACACAAAGAAAACAACAACAAAGCAGTTGCTGCATTTCCAGAGGACCCAAGTACAGTCCCCAGCAAGCTCCAGGTTATATAAAAACAAAAAGCTGAAGTAAAACACTTCAGCTGCCTGGTATAGCCAGGCAGTGGTGGCACACGCCTTTAGTCCCAGCACTCGGGAGGCAGAGGCAGACGGATCTCTTTGAGTTCGAGACCAGCCTGGTGTACAAGAGCTAGTTGCAGGACAGCCTCCAAAGCCACAGAGAAACCCTGTCTCAAAAAACCAAAAAAAAAAAAAAAGCCAAACAACAACAACAAAAACAAACAAACAAACAAACAAAAAACACCGGTGTAAATGATACTAAAGAGTCAGGACAATCAAATGCAATGTGTAATTCTTTTTATTCCTGGCTGGCCTGGAACATGCTATGTAGACCAGGCTGACTTTGAACTCACAGACATCTGAGTGCTAGGGTTAAAGTTGTGAGCCACCACACCCAGCAATGATCAGCCCCCGACTTAGCAAAGCTTTTAACAGCCCTTTTCTCAACTCATTAGGCCATCTGCCTTTTTCTTTCTTAATAAACTGCCTCTTTCTCTCACCAAATGAAAACAAAAACAAAATGAACAACAACAAAAAAAAAAGGAGAGATGGCTCAGAGGTTAAGAGTGACTGCTGTTCTTCCTGAGGACCCAAATTTGATTCCCAGCACCTACGTCAGATATCTCACAACCAATCACCTGTAACTATACCTCTGGCCACAATGGGAACCTGCACTCATGTCCACATAACAAAACACATACATATATTTAAAATAATATTTCTTAAAGAAAAAAGAAAGCTCAGAAAACAAAAAGAAGAAAGCTACTTGGTTAACTGGAGAGATTTAAAAAAGGTCTGTTTAACATCACTTTATCAGTGGTATTTTAGAAGTGGTGTGATTTGGGGGCTGTCCAAGAACACGTCCCTGCTTCAGAAGTTTTGAGCTGAAGAATCATACAGTGTCATGACTTCTGCAGTACAGGAAGTTAAAATGTGATGTGTATACTCATGCACATAGGTGTGGCAGAGAAAGAGCAAGACCCAAAAGAGTCATGATTTGCATAATGAAATTTCCATCAATACAGGCCAAACATTCAACTGTGGCCCCGTAACTTAAAACAGCCTGCCATCTAGGCTTACCTAACTACGTGGGTGATGGTCTCACAATTACCTAATGAGCCCCAGTTTTTAAGCAGTGTGTGACTTTGACCACTGGACATAAGCATATGGGTATTGGTTATACTGTGTTCTAATTTCTCAGGTTTGGAAAATTCCCAAGTACTTGAAGAGAAGTAAGAAAACGAATAATAAAAAAAAAAAAACAGACTGATTTAATCCTTGGAGAGTAGGAACTCTTCTTCTTTTGGAAAGGGTCTCCAGAAAGAGGTTCGTGTGTAATTTTATTTAGTTTTTTTTTTTTAAATCACTGTCAGGTGTGACACTAATACTTTTGGAAACAATCTGAGCATCCCAACTCTCGTTTTAGGCACAAGCTAACATCAGCTGCCTTAAAAATAGATAACCACTTTGTCAGCTACTACACAGGCAGGTCCCAGGTGTCCACTGTGAGGCGCCTGGCAGTCGCTGCCCAGTGGATGAGAATCACAGACGCCTGGCTTAACATGCAACCCTGCCCGTCTTCCTTTACGATGTCTCTGGCCCAGCTTCACGGTTTACGAAGTCCAAGTTTCAATTTTGCTGGGGCGCCCTAATTCCCCCTCTGTCGTACCTCCCACCCCAGTCGCCTAGCCTTCAAAAGTCCAAAACAAATAATCATGCTCTCCCCTGAAGGCCTCTATTATTGATCCCAGGGGAGGTAATTCTCCTCCCGTCAACTTTGTCAACTCTGGCAGCTCTACCGTGTAAACGTCACTTTGAAAGCTCTCCTGACAGGAAGCGGCAAAGCTCGGGTGGCAAAGTTAGAGCAATTCAGAAGTTGTGTCTAAGTTCAAGGTGTGGGTGGGAGAACCCGCAACAGGTCTCAGCAAGTGATTCCTACATAGACAAGCTGGAGGGGAGATAGATGGGTGTAGGACAGACTCAGAGGGCAGGGTCTCGGAGGGCGTCAGGGGCAGTCCCTTGCATAGGACTGGCGTCGCCCCAAGGCACCCGGGTACCACTCCGAGGCTGCCTCGGCCTCGCCCTGGCCGGGGCCGGCGACAGGTGCGCAGTGCGCAGGCGCGGGGCGGGGCGTACCTGGGAAGGAGCAGAGCGAAGTGGAGTTGGGGCACAGGGTCCCGTTGCCCACCCGCGGCACGAGCTTCAGGCTGAGGATCTGCTGCATGAGCCCTGGCTGCCGCCACCCCTCCCCGCGGGCCCCACCCCGCCGCCATCCACCGCCCGGAGTGCCGCGGGGCCCGGCACCTCCACCGCCACGGCGTCACCTTTGGCCGGCCCTCTTCTCCCGCCCACCCCAACGGCGCTACTAAGTAATCGTTTCCCCTTCCAATCACAGGGCGCCGCAGATGGAGGGGGCGGGGCGACGGTTGTTCCCGCCTCCTGGAGCTGCGTTCGACTGGAGACGACCCCCGCTTGCTGCGCCCCCTAGTGTCAAGTCTCTCCTGTTCCGTCTCGGTACGTTGGATTCTGCCCTCCACTTCAGTGTCATCTCTAAGTAGGACAAGTCCAGTGAGATGGCTCAGCCGCTAGATGCTCTTAACGGCCAAGCATGAGGGGACTGAGTTCCATCCCTGGGACCTACATGACAGAAGGTGAGAACCAGCTTCCATGGGTTGTCCTTTGAACTTCACACGTATGTGAACTGTGCACATACACTTACATAAAAATACATAAATAAAAATGTTATAAAAATACAGCGCCAAAGATAAATACATAGATAAAAATAGTGAAATGGCCAATAATGCACTCAAATTTCTGTGTAGGGCTGGATATATACTGACAGAGAATCAGCCTAGGGGCACAATAATACCCTGGATTCCAACCCCAGTTGCTTAGCATGTAAAAGGCTATAGGTTCAATTTCCAAACAACCAATAAACAAAAATAAGACGTTAACTGAGCGGTGGTGGCGCTCGCTTTTAATCCCAGCACTCAGGAGGCAGAGGCAGACAAATCTCTGTGAGTTTGAGGCCAGCCTGGACAAGTTCCAGGACATCCGGGGCTACACAAGAAACTCTGTTTCCACCCCACCACCACTACCAAAACAAAAGAAATGTGTTTTGGATTTTGAGTGTGTACTGGCTGGTTTTCTGTGTCAACTTGACACATGCTGGAGTCATCTGAGAGGAAGGAGTTAAGGAAATGCCTCCATGAGATCCAACTGTAAGGCATTTTCTCAATTAGTGATCAATGGGGGAAGGCCCAGCCTATGGTGGGTGGTGCCATCCTGAGCAGGCTGAGCAAGCCCTGGAAAGAAAGCCACTAAGCACCTCCCCACCTTGACCTCTGCATCAGCTCTTGCCTCCAAGATCCAGCCCTGTTTCAGTTCCTATTCTGATTTCTTCCAATGATGGACTATGATCTCCTGTTCATGAAGCACTCTCTCTCTCTCTCTCTCTCTCCCTCCCCTCCCCTCCCCTCCCCTCCCCCTCTCTCTTTCTTACACACACACACACACACACAGAAAGAGAGAGAGATTTCAAATGGGGCATCAACTATGAATCAAGTTAAGAAACGAGTTTAGTGTGGACAAAAAAAGAAACAGATAAAATTACTTGAAAAGTTACACTGAAAAAAAAAAAGTTACACTGTGGCTGGGTGGTGGTGGTGCACACATTTAATCCCAGCACTCAGAGGCAGAGGCAGGCATCTCTGTGAGTTCCAGGCCAGCCTGGTACAAAGCTACACAGAAAAACCCTGTCTCAAAAACAAACAAAAAAAGTTACACTGTGAAAAATACTTGGCTCCCAGCTGGGCACAGTGGTCCATGCCTTTAACCCCAGCACTCAGGAGGCTGTGATCTCTGTGAGTTCAAGGCCAGCCAGGGCTACAAACAAGACAAAAGAATATGTAGTTCCCCATGACATAGAATTATCCCTGTTCGGTAGGTAGGCAGGGAAAGAAAGCTTACTTTAAATCAGAAAGCGTCATGTGCAGAATATACAGCATTTCCCTTCCAAGGACACTAGTAAGATGGCTGTTTAGCATCCTGAATCCTCCTGAAGATGAATTTTAGAATGCTTCCGGCCGGGCATTCGTGGTGCACGCCTTTAATCCCAGCACTCAGGAGGCAGAGGCAGGCGGATCTCTGTGAGTTCGAGGCCAGCCTGGTCTCCAGAGCGAGTGCCACGATAGGCTCCAAAGCTACACAGAGAAACCCTGTCTTGAAAAACAAACAAACAAACAAAAAAGACAAAACACAAAAACAAAAGAAAGCTTCCAATGCCTGTTCCATAATAATGCAGCTGTCAACCAGGACTCTTACCGAAACAAAATACTAAATATGTTAAAAGTCATGAACTAATTACTAAATGTTTGTTTTTTCCTTCAGTGCATGGACAAGGTTGCCAGAGTCCAGGTCAAGTGGTAGACCCCGGTATTTTGGGGTTACATGATAGCTGACTATGTACCAAAGCAGGAAAAACTATTTTGAATTTAGAATCCTATCACCAGACTATGACTGGAAGCTTATTTTTAAGGTTAACTTTATTTTTATTTATGTGTATATGTGTCTGTCTGTGTAAGTGTATGGCAGTTGTGTGCAGGTGTCAAATCTCCTGGAGCTGGAGTTACAAGTGATGGTGAACTGCCTGACTTGGGTGCTTGGAACTGAACCTGGATCCTCTGGAAGAGCAGCAAATGCTCTTAACTGCCGTGCCATCTCTCCATCACTGAGTTGAGAGATTCAAAGAAAGATACTAGATTCGAAGGATTCAGAAAATGTGTATTCTTATGCCTTTTTCTTTCTAAAGAAGTGTTTCATGAACTAGGGCAAAGGTTAAGAGTAGTGAATACTAAAGAGAGGGGCACAAGGCAAGAAATGGGGGATTTGGGGCTGGAGAGATGGCTCAGAAGTTAAGAGCACCAACTGCTCTTCCAGGGATCCTGAGTTCAATTCGTAGCAACCACATGGTGGCTCACAACCATCCGTTATGAAATCTGGTGCCCTCGTCTGGTGTGCAGATATACATGGAAGCAGAATGTTGTATAAATAATAATAATAAAAAAGAAATGGGGGAATTAGCCAGAATGTCACCACATCCTCTGTATAAAAGTCCCAGCAGAAAGAAGTGTCCTCAGGAGCATAATGAAATCACTTTCAGTCAAACAACGACATGGTTACTAAAATTTTAATGACTGGGAAAGGAAGGGAAAGAGAAAGAAAAAGAAATTGTGGGAGCTGATTGTTGGTACTCTCTCCTGTAATCACATAGAACTTAGGAGTCTGAGACAGGAAAGCCAACCAAAAGTTCTAGGCCAGCCTGGGCTCCATAGTGAGTTCCAGGCTAGCCTGGTCTACAGTGTGAGCCACTGTTTCAAAGAATAAATCGATGTGCCAGTGAGATGGTTCATTGGATAAACGCACTTGCCACATAAGCCTGATCAACTTGAGTTTGATCTCCAGAACCCACGTAAAAGTGAACGAAGAGAACCAACTCCACAACATTGTTCTATGGCCACACATGTGCCAATGCGCACACACACACACACACACACACACACACACCTACACACTGTAATAATAGTTTGGTTTTGTTTTTGAGATTGGGTTTCTCTGTGTTGCCCTGGCTGTCCTGGAACTCACTCTGTAGACCAGGCTGGTCTCAAACCCAGAGATGCGCCTGCCTCTGCCTCCTGAGTGCTGGGATTGAAAGGCGTGAGCCACCCCACCTGGCTAATAACAGTTTTTTTTTTAATGTGCATGAATGTTTTGTCTGTTTGTACGTCTGTGCAGCACATGTGAGCCTGATGTCCTAGAAGTCAGAAGAGGATGTCAGGTTCCTTAGAACTGGAGTTACAGACAGCTGTGAGCTGGCATGTGAGTGCTGGGAATCGAACCTTGTTCCTCTAGAACAGCAGTCTGCTCTAAACACTGAGTTATCTCTCCATCCCACAAATATTGGAGAGGGAGAGGGAGGGAGAGAGAGAGGGAGGGAGGAAGAGAGAGAGGGAGAGAGAGAGAGAGAGAGACAGAGACACAGAGAGAGAGACACAGAGACAGAGAGAGAGAAGCTGGGCCTGGTGACACAGGCCTTTAATCCCAGCACTTGGGAAGCAGAGGCAGATGAATCCGAGTTTGAGGCCAGCCTGATCTACATAGCAAGTTCCAAGAGAGCTAGGGCTACATGGAGAAACCCTGTCTTGAAGAAGAAGAAAAAGAAGAAGAGGAGGAGGAGGAGAAACCACTGGGAGAAATTAGTACTTAAAGCTAAATCAACTTAAAACCTATAAGGGAAAGGACAGCTCATCTCATTCAGGCATCCAGATCACAAAAATTGGTTGTAGTGACGCACACTCTTAGGATACTCTAAAGAAACAGAGGCAGGAGAATCACAAGTTTGATGTTATCCTGTGAGAAACATTTTGTGAGGCTTGGTGGCACATGCCTTTAATCCCAGCACATGGGGGAGGGGTCAAGGAAAGTAGATCTTTGGGAGTTCCAAGCCAACTTGGTCTACATAGTGAGTTCCAGGATAGCCAGTGATATACAGTGAGACCCTGTATGAATTTTTCTTTCTCAAGAAATTGTCCTGAGCTGGGCGGTGGTGGCCCACACCTTTAGTCCCAGCACTTGGGAGGCAGAGGCAGGTGAATCTCTGCGAGTTTGAGACCAGCCTGGTCTACAAGAGCTAGTTCCAGGACAGCCTCCAAAGCCACAGAGAAACCCTGTCTTGAAACACCTCCCCCCAAAAAGAAAGAAAGAAAGAAAGAAAGAAAGAAAGAAAGAGAAAAAAAGAAATTGTCCTGTTAATCCACTTCAGTGAAGTAAATGTGCTGGCTAGAAGATCCCCATTCAAGCTAAGTGTAAGGAACAGATCGGTCAGTAGAGGGCAGTGGGACAAAGGCCTTCCTGAAAAGGTAAATGTGAGTAACCCAGCTCCAGTCATTCTAGCCAAGATATAATTCCTTATAACTATGACTGCTGCTGATGGGAATTGATAAATTAAAAACTACTGGAGGGGCTGTAGAGCTGGATTAGGGCTGTAGAGACGGCTCAGTGGTTAAGAGCACTGACTACTCTTCCAGAGGAGCTGGGTTCAATTCCCAGCACCTACATGGCAGCTTGGGGTTGTCTATAACTCTAGTTCCAGCGGCCCCAACACCCTCACATAGACATACAAGCAGGCAAAACACCAATGCACATTTTTTAAAAAGCCCTGAAAGTAAGCA